CCCAGTTGACAATGAAATCTGAATTAAATGCAAACATAGTCTCTAAACTGAATTAATAATCCCTCTGTGAATTGACAAGACTCCACAGGTGTCACCCTCTGATCCATCTGGGTAACTCCTGATCTGCCCAGTAACTACTATCAGCTCTTGCTTCTGAGATCATGTACTCTTTGTAGCATGGTGCAGGCCAGCTATGACAAAGTGGCTAAAGCAGAACCAAATGTTGGAACGAAACACTTTCTGTGCTGATTCCAGTTGGCTGCAGTCTACAAAAACCTGTCATGGCTGCCAGTTGTCAAAGAAATCCCTATCAAGAACATTGCTGTTTATAAAAAGCAATGAACTGGGTATTATGTTCTAAAGTAATAAGTATTTAAGACACTTATGTACCCTCTGCCAGTTGTCAAAGAAATCCCTATCAAGAGCATTGCTGTTTATAAAAAGCAATGAATTGGGTATTATCTTCTAAAGTATTCAAGACACTTATGTACCTTGTGAGGTTATATTAAAAGCTAATAAGTTTTAAATACACATATTTATGTGGCTGTAGCAACCAGCTACTAGGTAGGAAATATTTAATAATGGAAACTTTAGGCTTTAAGTCCATATCACTTTGTTCTTGGTGTTTTACATTGCCTTGACTTAAATCAGTCTACCCTGGGTATGTATGAATCCTGAACATGGAGAAAGGGTTCAAAGCTTAAGCAGGTCCTGGACTCTCTTCATATGTTAATTCCATGTGAGAGCTTACCTTTCGACGTTTGATAGGGTTATGTCCAGCTCGCAAGCAGAGTGACCCTGGGAATCCTGTAGCACCTTGAGGAATAACAGCATCTGTGGCAGGGTATAAGCTTTCGTGAGTCACTGCTCAGCTCACGTCTTCAGGTACCCATCACTTCTTTGGCTAGCCATCTTGATCTATCCCCCGGGAATCCTATGAAGTTTACAACGTGGATTTGAGTCCCTGTGCATGCACAGTAAATTTTCAGTCACTCATGTTATTCTAGAACCCTAGCAGTGCGTCTGGCCCCAAAATTCAAACAAGCTGAAAAGAACCAAATTCAGCCTTGCTCCCATTGAGATGGCAAGCTAAAAGTTGTTTGAAGTTGTTTACTGGAATGTTCTGTGTATTATATCAAACTTGGGTTTAAAGAGTGCAACAGGCTTGCATGGCAGTCAGTGAGATTTCATGAAAGCCTGATAGGTTGCAATCTCATAACCTTCCGCCAACATAGTTCCAGGTTTCAGATCCAGACCATCAGTAGCTTATCCCTGTCTTGGAGCTTCTTGTGCCAAACATTCTGGATGGGCTGCAGTTTCTTGGCAACTAATTCCCAAGTAGGCAATGCATTTTGTCATAAGTCAACAAAAGTCATTTGCTGCAGTACTGGTTCAAAATCCCCAAACAAGACATTGTCATTGGAGCTGGTCCTAACAAAAATATTATGTGGACTGTGGTTTGTTTTCTGGATTGTTAGGAATTTAAACAAATATTCTTTCTTAGCGCTTGCATAGAAGCTAAATATAAAATTCAATCAAAACAGAAACATAAACTAGAGCTTCCTTCTAATGTGGTGGCTTAAGTTCCAAAACAAATTTTGCAGTGTAGCCTGCCTGGGTAAGATGCCATGTCTATCTAATACATTTTTTAATTCTGTCCCTCTAAGGAGCTGGAAGTGGCCTTGCACCAAGGCAAAAGCGTCAACATTAACCCTTGCATTGGTTCAGCCAGAAGATCCATCCCCCCTCCATTGGTGCAAGAATTCAGCTGCTCTATGAATTTGTACTGCACAAGAGGGTGGACCCAAAGTGTGTTGTAGGGAGGCCATAGGAGGAGAGATGTTAGTATCCTAGCCGGGAGCAGGACCCTTTCTTGCAGATGGTCAAAGCTGTACTTCAGACACTTGATGATGACTTGGGACGCAAAGGAAAGGCACTGCCTCTTTGCAAGCAAGGCTAAGGAGTGCAAAGTCCACCAAACACAGACCACATGTATCCTGATGTCATCTGGATGCTCTCTATTAAAACACTGCAAAGTTCTCCCTGAAAGCCCCCTATAGAACAACTCCCTTCAATCTCTGTGTAGATACCCATCAATGGCAGCACCCCAACACAGATACCCCACTCTACCAGCGAAACCAGAATTGTTTAGGAGGGCGTTTGTGTTGAGGGAGCAAAGCTGTGGTGTAACGGATCAGCTCAGGAGGTGACTGCTATTAGGGATAAAGTGTTTCCCTCACTGATGATTTTTGTTGCCTTTAAACGGATCTGCTCGCACGCATCATTCTTGCTTACGTTTCCCCCCATTCTACAATCACAGCCCAACTGCATTATTTTATCTTAGCAGGAATCTTTGCTCTTAGATTCAAAGGTTGTTATCGTATCGTAATCCATTTACAGATTGATGCTGTGTTCTGTAATCTACTTCCTGATTGACTGAAACTGTTTATTTTAATCATACTTGCCTTGAGTCCCAGTGAGAAAGGCAGACCAAGAATGAAAACACGAATTAGCCCATACAGCCCCTTTAGGAGCCCCTGATACCCAAGAGATCCCAGTGGCACGCAGACGTGACTGCGGAAGCAGAGACAGAGCACTAGTGTAAAGTAACTAACACGAAGAAAGGCTGTGGGTATCTTGGTGGCTTGGGGACAGGTTTCACAAAGGACGCCCCCTCCTTTTCTAGAGACTTTGAAGCAGAATCTGGACAGCCATCTGTGAGGGATTTGGATTTCCTGCATGGCTCAGGGGATTGGGCTCAGCAGCCTCTTAGGTTTCTTACCGTGCAGCTCTTAAGAGTTACATCCGAAGCGTATTGACCTCCGTGGACTTAGGAGGTGTGACTCTATTTAGGACTGCACTGCTAGAATCATAATTGCTTGTCAGTTGCAGCATCCGAGCGGGCTGCCCATAGTGTGCATGAAACGATTTGCCTGTTTGTCTGCGTCATCCTACCATGGGGCGGGGGGGTGGGAATAGATTTCACCCCTCGTTGAAACCAAAAACCTTGTGGTGCCTTCAAAGGCTAACCTATATTTTTTTAAAGGTGGCTACAAAGCTCTATTTGCTGCCGAAGGCTACCACAGCTGTTCCTCTGCAATTGGTCACCCACTAAGCGTGCAGATGATCCTCGGCCTTCAGTTCTTTACATGCTTGTTTGGGCATAAGTTCCATGGAAATGAATGGCTCGTTTCCAAATAAATGCAACTGGGACCAAATAAACACAAGCAAATGGCAAAACCCATCCAGACCTGGGCTGCCAATCCCTTCGTTAGTCTTCCACCTAGCTGCTGTCTGACTCCTGACATGCTCCTGGGGACTTAGATATGAGGAGGCTTGTCTTGAAGGAGAGCCGCGC